TCATAACTTGCAAAGCACGCAAGTTGTGGACAAGAGTTGCAATGACAAGTTCTTCATTATATGAAAAAAAACCCAAGTAATAAAACCTGCTTTTTTTTTTCATACATGGCACCCAGTTATTTCATGTGTGCATCCTAGTAAGTGAAAATGGGAAAGTTCCCTATTTTAGTTCCCTTACCATCCAATATTCTGTGTGCTTGTCATATGCCTTCACTCCTGTCAGCCCTTTTTGTAAGTGAAGATTTCACTTCTTTTCATAAAGAACCTGTTACATTCCTTTCATCATCACTATTATCCTTCCCTGTACTACTGCTAGATCTGCTACAACCTTTGAAAGATACACAGAAGTACCACAGCTGTATACTCTAACATAATGATATGTGCTGATTTATTTCCCATTTCTCATTTTAAAACCACCTCACTAGACACAAGTCTGTAAGTGCTGACAATAATCTGCCTTGTACTCAGAATAATAAAATAATCTGCCTCATATTCAAAGAAAACTCCTGATGTTAAATGTCAGGGTTTGCAACCTCAAGACAGCAATTTCTAGGCTGAGGTGGCCAAACAATCACCAGCCAACTACTTATGTGAAGCTAGTTCTTCCTCGTGTCCACCTGCTCAGCAGTATCAGAAAATAACTGAGGATATTCATTAAACATATTCTTCACCTGAAATACCTCACATGAGCAATTGCTTTAATTACTAAAGGGATGAAAAGTAATTACAGAGGAAAATTCTGCAATCTCAGTCTAGGCAAGAAATACCCAAGGGAAAGTCATCATTATAATATCATCCATGTGTTGCAAAAGCCAGTTGAGGAATTCTTGGTGCCGTTGGCTCCCTTCTATCTAAAGTCTTGCTAGAAGTACAGGGCACAGCCAGACGACCAAGTACCTTCCCTGCCTTGGTTTTGAACATGACACATATGGGTCTCCCACCACAGATGCGTCTCCTTTGAGAAACTAGAAAGTCAAGATCCCTTTATGGTATAGTGGATGAGTTAAGTATGTTCCAGTACGACAGCACATCAAGAAGCCGAGGCACGACGGTCTGTAATTAAATAATGCTTTATATTGGTTCATGACAACGTAACATCAAGGCAACAGCACCTGCCATTTTCACACAAAATAATTTACATAAACTTATTCCTCTACTTCCGTATCTCCAGCTGCATTCCATAATTTATACAGACATACAGATTCTTCCCTCTGACATTAACAAGAGAAACAAGTTGAATAATCAGCTCGCAGTATTAAGTGCATTGCATTTACTATCAAGCAAGCTTTTTTAGTTCAGCAGATGATTAATCTTCCCTCTGCGGGTAGAGTACCAGGGGATGCAGAGAGCTGACAACTGCTCTCGGCTTCTGGCCATGCTCTCCATACGCTTACCTTGCAACAACAGCATTTGTTGGATCCCTCCAAGAGCTGCTCTAATTCATTAACCCAGCAAAAGAATTGGACAGTTTTCTGCCAGGTCAGTGAATTAAAGTGGCTCACGTAAGGAATGCCAGAGCCAGTAAATAGGAGTGGGAGTTTGCGCTTGGAGCCAGATATCTCTTTTCTGACAGCAGTGAATCTTTTAGATCAGCTCAGCTGCCAGAGGTACTGCAGCCTAATTAGCATCTCCCCTTGCAGCTAACTATGCTGGGTGTCTCCATTAGGGATAAGAGCACTAAAGTAAACCAAGAAGGGGGAAGGGGGAAAAAACCAGGCAACCCAGCACTGTAAGTAGTGAAATGCAGAGTGTCAACTGTTTAAGAGACAGGCTGCAACAGGCAGACCAAGTAGGCCAAATATGGGCCGGTACCTCAGTCTATTTTTAATCCAGTTCTTTCAGCTGTGCTTTGGGACAGTATCAAGAGAAAGGACAGATGCCTGGAGATGAAGTATGAGAGATCTGCATGCCAGGCAAGAAACAAAGCCCCACAGATGAGGCTTGATCCTAAAATAAAAAAAGATTCTAAAATATGAAGTTGTTTGTATTACACTACCTATTGTGTCAATTTCTTTTCCATGCCTCTGTTCTGAAAGCTCTGAATGCTTTCCACTACACTCACACTGCCAGAACCAAGCTCATCCTTAGCTGGTGACACCAACCAGTCGTTCCCCTTTGCTCAGGGCTTTTAGACTGCATAGGAAGGCATGGACTTTGACTCTCAGAGTTTATTTTACGTAAGTTCACTACTGAGATCTTTGACCTCAGGCTTCCAAATCACTGTCTATTAACTCAAACACCACCGCTAATTTCAAATCATTCAATCTGACTCACCCACAAGAATCTGCCAAGTTTCTATGAAAAGGTGCTCCCACCTGGTGTGTTAGGGACCTTGCTATAGACCCCTTCACACTGCTGTGTAGCATCTTACCAACAAGATTAAATTGCCCTTTCCATGAGGGACCCCTAAGCCACCCCATGTTCTTTGTTACTTTGGCTATTATCCTAAAGGCTATCCGCCTGAAAAGCAGGAAGGCCCCACCATCTGACCACACCTTTTGCTATCTCACCCTGTCCCGCCAACTGGACCAAGCACAGGCCTTGTTCTTAAAAGCAAGCAGGGAACTTATCTGTCTGGCTGAATGAATTTCTGAATCATCCCATGGGAGCACAGGCTTCAAGTCAGCAGCTAGAAAACCTACTGGTTGTTTGGTCTGGGGTATCACCTTCACACAAATGACAGCAACTGTGCTTGTCAGTCACAATAATGAGAGGGAAGGCTCATACCTCACCCCTGATGACTTTTCACTCTATTCAAGTTAGCACTTTTGTTTGAGTAAGATAACAAAATGGTGAAAGGAAAAGATACCTTAAAGCATAGCAGTCTAGTCCACATGGACTGAACATGTGTATCCAACAAGCAATAACCAGTGCATGTCATGGACAAGGTGCTTGACATTACCTGTAAATGTTTAAGGTGAAATACCCAACCTGTTCTGCTGTATATTTTAATAGCACGCTTTAGCCTGACTAACTACTGAGCCTTCTTCCTTCCCCTAGATCCTACATCATTAATCAGCATACTGAGATGGAGAAAAGTTACATGGAATTACATCCCAAGGCAGCCCACAGAATAAAAATAACTTCATACAGAAGAAGTCCTCTACAAAAAGATAAGGGGACTTGGAAGATCCAGAATGCAGTGGATGTGAAAGTGGCATGTGAAAGGCCCTTGGTTGAGGCACCTTCCCCCCTCTCCCTCCTTGGATTTCTATTTGTGCCACCATCTGGGATCCTTTGGGCTTGATGAGTCCCAATCACAGCAGTCACAGCAACACTGTGCCCTCACCCTTTCCCAGCCAGCTGTGGCCCTCGAGCCTAACTCTGCACGCTCAGCTCACACATCTTTAACCACATCAAATGGTCACACCAGATGTGCCCACCTGTTTCCAACAGCCAGTACAAGTGTTGTGTGTTATTCAGCCTGTTTCTTGGATAAACCCCTGCCAGTCAGGCTCCCTCTGCAGACTCCTGGCAACACCACTGCCTCCCAGCAGTCTCCCAGCAACACTCCCTCCGCACAGATGGGCTCCCAATCCCTCCTCATAGGCTAGCCACACGCTGTGGGCTCCTTGGAGCCAGCTTTAGTTGATAAAACACAGAGCTCAGCCCTGCAGAGCCACCGAGATGGCTCCTAATATGGAAGAGAAGCAGGAAGGTTGGCAAGAACTTACATTCAAGGTCAAGACTCACATCATTTCCATTAAAAAGAAATGCTCCTAAGCTCTGGACAAGGATGGGAACAGCAAAAACACATGGGGAAAACCACTGCCCTGTTTTACTCCCTATTTCCAGCTTCCCCATCCAACCAGCAGTGCTTGAGAAAGTTGCTTGCTGGAGACAGGCAGCCCAAATCTTACGGCTTGGAACGACATCGGACAATCTGGTACTAAAACGATGACTTGCATTTCTGCACACTGCACCAGCTCTAAGTTTTATTTCCTGCCTGACCTCTTCTCATCTACGTTTGTGTTTACAGAGTAAGGCACTCAAAGTTCCTTTTACACACTATCAGTGTGCCTTACAGGGTTTGTACTCTTTTGCTTCTTCAAGATGCTGAAGTTGAGGCATTCCCAGGATGAAATCAAAGATATCTTCACAAAGTCATGACCAATAGAGCCAAGCCACTGCAGTGGAGCAGAGGCACACACCGGGAACTGTGCACACACGAGCTGGCACTATCAGTTCTTCCAACTGTTGGCACTGAATTCATTCAGTACTTACCAGGGAAAAAAATAATCTCTACAAGCCAAACACCAACTACAAGTAAAACTGAAAGCATTAACAGATTAAATCCGCCCCTGAGCGCCGAAGGCTCTCACCATAAGGCTCTTTATTAGGAAGTTAAGTCTTAACAAGTGGCTTAAGGGGTGGATAAAGCTTTTCCTGGGATAATCTGCCAGCATGTTGCCCAGTGCCAGTTCCAGGCCATGGGAAGAAGAAAGTAAAAACACAGAAGATGCTAAATATCTTGGTTTGGCAAATGGATGACCAGTAGCTAAAAGCTCCTCTCCTAACTTTGCCCTCTGAAGCTCCCTGCCATCTTCAAAAAGTCAAATAAAAGTGATTTTCTACTCTGGTAGTTTCCTGGAAACAAAACCACATTGGGATTACGCCTAAAATGCATGTGCTCACCCTAATTCTGTGTACCATCAACCTTCCAGAGTTTGCCTCCATCATGTTTATTTGAACCATTTGCCAATTAACACAAAGTTATTAACACTTTTATAAAAGACTGTCTTTGGACAACACCACCATGGTAACAACATCATGATTTCAAATACTACTTTCCTTTTTTTTTTCTTTGCAGACACCAATTCACAAGGGGAAAGATGGAAACCTAGTAATGGAAGGTCAGAAGCCATGTTTTGTTTATAATTCTCTCCTTTTCAAGTCTACTGCCGATTTGCCGTATACTTAAGAAGGAGCAATCCAATCAATGTCTGCTTTTCCCCAAAGCACTGTGCTGCTCTCCTGGCTCTGCACCCTTGTGCACTTACTGCAAGAGATCCGTTCTGCGTGCTGGCCGTGTTCGTGCTCTGCTCTCCGTGCGGCTGCGTGCTTCCGTAGAGTGTCAGATTGTGCTCGCTGGTCTGGCCTGCATAGTCCTGAGTGTGTGGCACCCCGTACTCTGTGGGAATCCCATTCTGTGGGGGTGGCGGAAATGGGATTGTGGTGAATGGCTGCACCATTGCATCAGGAGTTGCTGCTGGCTCCTGGTTACCCTGAAGAAAGGAAAAGGAGAAAACAGATTTATACTACAGAAGATAGATCGAAACGTCAGCCCGAGAAACAACACACACGTGTACATGTGAACATCTCACGCACCATCACCATAATATTGCACAGTCTTCTATTACCTGTTCTATCAAAAAGAGCATGCCTTACTCCTCTGAGCCATGACACTGTTTTCTTAATCTTTTCAGAGCAACTTTTTTGCTAATGGCTGGCGCACGGAGAAAAAATTATGGGGTTTGCAAATTGCATACCCCTGTGATCTCACACAAAGCTTTACACACAGTAAAGCATTATTTTGGAAGGGGGAAGAGACACTGAAACATTGGAACAGAGAAGGAAACACAGAAAGAAGATTAGGCTTCTTTAATATCCCTGAAAGTACCGTAACTGGGTCCATCTCCTCCAGCCTGACACTCATTGCTCTGCTCACAAGCAAGCACATCATGTGGTTCAGAGCATGACTCTCTGTTATGTTACAGTAATAAAAAGTTTACTTTTTCAAACCCATCTGTGCAGATGCCCCCTTCTTTGCTCTGGCAGCACTGAGTACACAGCACAGGTGCTCAGGTATCAAATGCTGGAATATCCAATTTCCTGCTTACTGGCCACGTAGAAGACACCAAGGACCTGTAGGGAACTGAGCTGAGATTGCAAGCCTGGAGCACACTCACTCTTTCCCATTCCTGAGCATCCCTGCTATCACACAAGACATTAATCACCCACTCCTCCCTTAGCTTTGGGTATCCCACAGAGACCTCTGTGCTAGGATAGTGAGCTTTTTAGAAGCTTTTAGCACTGTCTTAGATGTTGCTGACACCAACCAGATGACTCAGAAACAGAGACCTGACCATGCAAAAGAAATCCCAAAAAAACAGTAAAAAAATGTTACACCATCATGTCAAAAAAACCACAATAAGCAAACAAAAAAGCATGCAGCTCTGCAGCCTCTGCAGGGATCTCACCAAAGGGGGAGCAGGGAGCTGCATTCAGCCACCTGGGGTGAAGGAGAACAGCCTTGACATTGAAGCCCAACCCTGGGAAGCCCAGGCTGCTGCACTGCTCCTACTGCTTCATCGCCACAGCAGAAAAAAAATCCACAGAAAAGATTTATGATAGGAGGGCTGTTTGATTTATGTGCATGTCAACAGACTAATCCTGATTTTAAATTTTGGCTGCTGTTCCAGCCCTGGGTCCTCCCCCATAAAGTCTGGAGGTGCTCGAGCCTATTCTAACACCAGCATGCTTAAATCAATGGAGTAAAAGCGAAACAGACCTTATCCCACGGGTAGGAAAGGCAGAGTGGGAATTACCAGGCAGCCTTTCAGCAAAGAGCACGCAGGACCTGACAGACCTCCAGTGAAGCTGGACAAACCTCTAATTCCTTTTATCAGCCTACCTGCAGCTTTCCCTTCCGGGCGAAGGAAACAATGATAAACGCAGCACACCTCCAGCCAGCACCGGGTCATTCAGACACTGGCTGAATCCCAAATTTGCTCTGACATTAGTCTATCTGGTCTGCCTCCCCTGGGGGCCACGTGGCCACACGCTCCTGCAGCTGGGGAGAAGGAGAGGGAAGGGCATTCAATACCACTTAGCAGAGCCAAGCTAAAGCCTTGGCCTGCATCGGGAACGGACCGTTTCATTAACTCAAGTCCAGCCACTGCAAAGCCTTGCTGCCTGCAGAAACACAAAACTCTGCAGCCTTATCTGAGAAAGAAAAATTCAGGCACGCACGCCAGCCACGGCCAGTGCTCAGTTCCTCGCGGGCACTCCCCCAAGCCGTTGCAGCCCTGCGTCGTGTGCCCGCGGGTCTGCAGGGGTTTTTTCACACACCAAGCACATTTTCTGAAAGCAGAACAGGATATTTTAGTTTTCTCCCCCAAAAGGAGGGTAGTTCCACCAGCACTCTGCTTCTGCTCATTCCTTTGCCATTCTCAGCTTCAAAGCAAGGCACTTCTGACTCAATCTAAACTCACCAAGATCTGCAGAGCTGAGTTCTGAAACGGGAGGCAGGAGAGGCAGAACGATGGCTGTCCCACTGCAAACCAGGTATCAGCAAACCCTATCGCTCACTTGCTCACACTGTTTATCCCCTGACATGACAACTCCATTCCGTCCACATACTGTCTCCTTTCCATATTCTTCTGCTTACAATATTTCATTGTATTTGATTGTCCGTGTGCTACGGCCCACACTGTCTGCCCCTTTCTTACATTTAAAACAGAACTAAATATGAAATTGATTTTTTATTTTAAGTTAAAAAATTGATAGGGTAACCCCAGAAAAGATGCAGGTGCAGAAACTGCTTCAAATTTTCTCAGAACAAGCTAGATTTCCAAGCCAGTAGCATCCCAGATCAGAGGAACAAAATGCTAATTAGCCCTAAACAAAACTTATTCTGCCATCCTCTCTACAGTGCAGGGTTGCTCCCCAAAGGACACAGTCCAGCATCTTGTTTAATCTCACTCTTAGACTACTTAAAATGCCAGCCCATGAACCTTGTATAATCTTATTTTCAGTGGTTTTACCCCTCAGTTAATACTGTTCCCTACAGTTTAAATGCATTTGAACCCTTTTAAATATTTTCTTTCCCTTCTTCAATTATCTACAAATGCTTGAAGGATGAAAAATGCTTACTCTCTCTTCTGTTGCTTGTGGCATTTTGATAATACATATTTATTTTGAGTTTAATCACACCTCTCAAGCCAAAATATCCTGGTAACTTTATTTATTACTTCTCTCTGACCTTCCTAAGATTTTCAAAGAAAGGATTTCTGGTGCCAAATGAATGTTTTTAATACCATTGTCACTTCCCCCCCCCCCCCTCCCAAATCGCATTAACATGCAAAAATCATATATCTTTTATTACAAATGTATCCTTCATTTAATGTCTCAGGTTATCTGGAGATTTATCACCATTATGTTTGTCCAGGTTTCATCTTCCCATGGAGCATCTGTATCTCAAATTATTTCTCTCTTTATATGATTATGGACATATTTCCCATCTGATTTTTTCTGTAATTTTAATTTCCTTTGGTGCTTCAGAATTACTTTTTTCTCTGTTTCCACTAGTGTCTGCAGAAAAGGACTCCCAATGAGATCTCTGCAGGTTTCACAGCATACTGATATCCTCCAAACCCAGAGGAGATTCTACCTCTTCTGTTATTCTGCTAAATTTCAACATTTACACACTTCATATTTTCAAGAACTAACACAGGACACGCACAAAAAAAATCCCATTAATCTTCAAACATAGAATCTGAACTCGCTTCCCTCGTTCTAACCCACCATAGAGAATTCTGCAGTCAGAGGTGCTGCTTCTCATACTTCTCAGGAGGTACAAAGAGCACGAAGAAACCCCAAGTTTTCCAGCTGAAGGTACGTACTTGGGAGGAGAGACTCAACAGAAAGTATTTTGTCCACCCGATCCTGACAACATACCTCACTGTATTGCCAGTCCTGCCTGCTCTAGCCATGAAAATCTCTGTAACATCTACTTAAATGCAACAAGAAACCCAGATAGGTATGTCCAAGGCAATTACCATCCCCAAACACACACAAGGACACCATCACAAGACTAGGAAAACCTGGTTGCAGCTCCCCCCAAAAGCTAGTGTCATAAATTTCTGTGAGGGTATGAAATAAATCTTAACTAATGTTCAGGAGCAGACAGACACTTCTCTTGGCCACAATGCATCAGGCCAGCAGTCTTCAGGAGGGGAGTGTGATGGACATTTGGTTGCAGGAATAATTGCGGCAATTCCAGATCATCCAGTTCCCTCCACAAATTTGTGCTGCCATGCACCAACCACGACAGCTGTCATCCCATGCTCAGTCTGGGAAAGGTTGGTCAGTGCAAGTGGAACTCAGTGTAATTAACACATACTGCTTAAAAAAAGGAAAACACTTCAATAGGACACATGGTAACCTCAAGTTCCAAAAAGAAGAAGTAATTCCTGTGTTTGCTATTCATTCTGTTGCTCTACTGCCACATTCATTCACATCAGGTGGGAATTCAAAGCAGCCCTTCTCTTGCAAAATGTTGGCATCTGATTCATCAGCACTCAAGATTTCAGAGCACAAGAAGGATATGGATATTCATCTGGGCTCCCTATTCTCAGCCCTACAAAAGTCTAGTCAGGTCCTTGCAGGTGCCAGTTTTCTTCCTTAAGTCAGGGTTTTTCCTACACTGCTCATTACAAATCCGTCCCACATTTTGTTTAAAAAACAAATTAGCTAAAACAGTGACAATCCCTAATGGGGACACATTTCTTAGAGTTTATGCAGCTTTAACTTAATTAACGAACTTTGTAGCTCCAAGCTAAGCAGAGGAATGGTAAGTAAATGCACGTAGTGGTAACTTGTGGAAGGCTGCGAACTGGAGATGATGTCTCAACAAGGAGCAAAGTGGTTCAGCAAATGCAACATAGGATGAATTCTTTCAGCAGACAGCAGGTGGTGATCCAAGATCACTGCACTGGAGCGCCAAGAGCAAACACCAGAAATGCACACAAAGGCCTCCTACTTCCATAAAACTGTCAAAGATCAGTGAGTTTTGTGAAGGAGTGGTTTTGTTTTGCTCATTAGAGAAACGGATGTAATTACAGGAATATGAAAGGAGCCTTATAGCAATGCAAGTCCAGATCTCTTCTGTATTGGTACACCATAATATGCATATTTAGTAAAGCATAACCACCCAAATAAAAATTATTAACCTGGTAAAGCTAAACTGGTACAATTTCTGTACAGACATGGCAAACTGCCACGAGGTAACCCATCTGAGCTATCCATAACCCTACAATGAATCATAAGCATCACAGAAAGGTGCAGAGAAATGGTACAGCATATAAACATCAAATAATCTCTTAAAAATGCCTTTGAACTCTGCTAACCCCCAAATCACTGGTACAGATGTGAGTATAAGCCTATTAGTGGAATAGGGTTTCTAATAGGTATATCTTCACTGAACTAATTTTATGAAACCTTG